AAAAAGTTTTGAGCAAGGAAACCCTCTGCCATGGTCAGAGGGAGTCATGCTTACGGTTTCTGCCTTGTTTCATAGATATCCGTAATAAAAGAAGACATGTGAGGATTGTCCTGCGGAGTTTCAACGACGCTGGAATAACTGTAGAAATTAATGAGAACAATACCGATAGAAATTTCACCAACTACGCTACCAAGCAAAGTTTGACTTTCGGAATAAGCTTACTATTTCGGATAGGAATGCATTTTGTCGTATAGATTTACAAGAGAGGTCGAGATCACAACAACTGGTATCAGACACAACAGACTAATAAGCATTGCCATCCAAACCCCGTTCTGTAAAGTGTGGTTGTAAGTGTGAAAAACCCGGAGGGAGAAACTTACCATGGGGTCGATAGCATGGTCACAGACCGCAGCCGTTGATGACGAGAGAATCTCCTTTATGGGTGCACATGATGATACCTCGCGCTGCATCTACAAAAATCCAGTGGTGGTATAATTGATCAATTCGAAGTATTTAGTGAGTTTGAGGTAGAGCGAAAATTCTTCATCTTGATGCTTACCTCATGCTTAACGTGATCGACGTAAGCGTCGACGTTGGCCACAATCTCTTGCAGTTGCTGCCGAGCTGCTTTGTGTAAGCTTTCCCGTAAATCTTCCGAGAGCAAAGCCTGAGAATGTTGCAGCTTACCCAGCAATGATGCTACGGGAATCTTCATTCCAACAATTCTGAAACATTCTTTCTTACATGATGGTAAAAACAAGCCCCTCTGTTGAGGCATTTAAAATGATTATATTTACTTCTCATTGATTTGCGTCAAGTTCTTTGCCAGTGTGCTCAGTTTCGAACGAAGAGGACGTGCAAGGTGAGAGTCTATTGCCTGGATCTGCTCTATCACCTGAATTGTCACCATCTCGAATCTTCAAAAAAGGTCAAAAGGAAGTGTGAACTCACGGATGCTACAACTTTTGGTCTATCCGAATTCGTATCAATATTATTTTCAAATGAATTGGCCTTCGCGGATAATTCCAGAGCTAAGACAGTAGCTTCAATCTGGAAGAAG